AGAGCCAGTAGACTTTGGAGTCAGAAGGTCTGTGTTCAAATCCAGGTTCTACCACTGCATAGATTTAAAATCTTGGACAGATCAGTTACTTTCTAGGCCTCAGTATACTATTGTGAAAATTTAACATTTAGTACTTAATTAATTTATTTTGAACATTAAATTTGAAAATGCAAGAGATTATAATAGTAGCTGGCAATTATGAAGTTAAGAGATTGACAGCAGTTCGGGGTCAGGTGTCAGTGTACAAAGTCAGCTCAAATCCTGGTTCTATCACTAAATAATAATGTTAAGATCTTAAAATTTTTACTGGCTCATTCTGAATCCTAATATCTATATCAAATCAGGTTGGGTTTTAGGGAAGAGACAATGCAAGTAAAATACTTAAATAGCTCCTAAATAATAAGCACTTTGTAAGTGTTCAGTAATTGTTAACACTGTTAATACTTTGTCTTTTGAGTAGCACATTAAAAATTCACAATTTTAGGTTGTGGAAAAATAGTACATTTGTGAATTTGGGGCTATTGACCACATTTGCCAAGTTCAGTTTTTCATATGTGTAATATTGATTATTAGATATGTTCCTTTAGACATTTGGAAAGTCTTTTAAAAGAGGTAACATACATTTTAAAATAGATTCTATTACCTGCCATGTATGATTTACAAAGCTTTAAAAGGATAGGTTTATGATACATAAATTAACCATATTCTTAAGAATATACCTGATAGCAGATTCATAATATGGGATGGTTACAATCTTATACTTAATGAAAGTTTATTAGTGAGGTATAAGAATAAATTGGTATTTATTGACTGATATAATCAATAACATATCTTTAGTGTATCTTCTACTGCAGTTTTGTGCACAGATAACACTTAACAAATGTTTTAATCCTAGGAACTGTTACTGGCCATCTTTGGGTATCATATAATTTGAAGTAATAAATATTATTTTATTCCTAAAATAGAGATGAAAATAATGATCCAAGGTTATTACTATTTGTAATTAGAAATGGTTACTTACTTGTCTACCACCATTTAAAATAATAGAGTCATATGTCATATATATATATATATATATATGAATGAATTTTTAAAAAAATTTCTGGCACTAAGGCTTGAATTCAGGGTCTTTGTTCTTGCTTGACTTTTTTTTTTTTTTGCCAGTCTTGGAGTTTGAACTCAGGGTCTGAGTGCTGTCCCTGAGCTTTTATGCTCAAAGCTAGCACTCTACCACTTGAGTCACAGCTCCACTTCCAGCTTTCTGTGGTTAATTAGAGATAAGAGTTACATGGTCTTTTTTGTCTGGGCTGCTTTGAACTGCAATTCTCAGATCTGAGCCTCCTGATAGGCTGATAGGTATGCCAGGGCCTGGCTCTCACTTGGCTTTTTCTGATCTTGGTGGCTGGTACTCTCCTACCTGAGCCATGCCTCCAGTTCTTACTTTTTACTGGTTAATTGGAGATAAGAGTCTCACAGATTTATTTGCCTGGATAGCTTCAAACTGTGATCTTCCAATCTTAGCCTCCTTACTAGCTGGGATTATAAGTATAGTAACTAAGATTATATTGCTAATGGAAATTTTATAGGTAAATAGAGAGTTGTACAAATCCTCTATGGGCCTGTTTTTCTTTGTCCTAGTGGGGAAAAATTCTTTTAGAAAACAGTCCAAAGTCACAGCAAATATTAATCTAAAAATTTGAAGTGAAATAGATTTACCATTATGAAAGCGTAGCACCTACATTGATCAGTTTGATTATTTTGTGAGTAAAGTTTTTCATACAGAGTAAGAGGAGCAAAAGGGAATGATACCTCAATCTATGTAACTAGCATGGTGCTCAGCAGACAGAAAAGTAGTATTTTCCTCTCTGAAACATTCTGTTGACATTCCTCATGTATCATGCCAAAAAAGTAAACACTTCCCCCCCAACTAGCTATTGTCCTCTCTTCTATTTATCTCTTTATCCTTGAACCCTAAAACAAATGTCTCTCATCTTATATTTTTCATTGTAACTAATGGAATTCTAAGATTAGAATTTACCATTGCTCAATGCCATCACTACTGCTTCTTGTTTAAGAACTCTTATCATGTCTCTATTGTATCCCTACCTTATTCAAGTTTTCTAAGGGCTTTAACCAATATAGTTTTTCCAGACAAACCTGTACCATGTCATTCTGTAAATATAAGATCCTAAGAATGATATCCAAGACTCTTTGACAGTTTAGAGCTTGCTTTTTTCTTCCGTCACAATTTTCAAGATATATTCTTGATCTTTCATAGGTAGAAATGCACTGATCCATTCATTTTTCACTCGCAATGTCTTTGTGTCCACTCGGTGGCACTATGCTAGTGCACTGAAGATGCATAGGCAACTGGGTAGCAGGATTGCCACTTGTGGTGTGCTTATGGAATGCCATTTCTTTGGTCCTGTGATTTTATCTGTCCTTTCACTGTTGGTGGCATTTCTATTAGCCTGTTGTACTAAACTCAATTATATATCTTTTCGGATCCATTTTGTGACTTTTCTGATTGTGATTCTTCTTTGTGTTCCAGTAATTCATATTAATATCTCAATTATAGTTTTTATTTTATATTACACTTACTTTTTATAGCTGATCTTTTCAGTACGTTGAATTTTCTTAAATGAGAAGGAGGAAGATAAAAGAGTAGCACATAAAAAAACAATGAGGTAAAGGATAAGAAAAGTCAAAAGAAGAGAAAGAAACCAGACAGCAGTAACTGGATGGGGTTTGAATTCTTAGTGTTCTGCCTACTAGCTGGGCACACGTTTCATATCTCTGTTTCCCAGTTCATAATGAGGATGAGATAGAATCTCTGTGAGAATTAAATGACGTTACATATGGAAGGTGCTTGAAGATGAATGGTACGTTGTACATGCCATATATGTTTCTTGCTAGCCTTCTTTGCCCGAACTAGGTTTCTCTCTGCTTTAGTTTTGAAGAGACATCAGCTTTTCAGACTATATAGTAACTAAGCCTGGTTAACTACTTAAGGCATTACATTGCTGAGTATGTTTTAGGTCTGGCTATGAGAACAGTTCCTATGTATATTTGATATTTGCAGTATAATTTTGAGGTACTGCTCTCTTGCCTCTTCATGCTAGACTTTTTACTTGTCTGGAAGCTACTAGAAATGCTGATGATAATCTTTTAGTTCTCTTTTTTTTTTGTTGTTGTTTTTTTTTGGGGGGGGGTCCGGTTGTGGGGCCTGAACTCTGGGCCTGGGTGCTGTCCCTCAGCTCTTCAGCTCAAGGCTAGCACTTTACCACTTGAGCCGCAGAGCCACTTCTGGCTTTTTTCTTTTTTTGCTTATGTGGTGCTGAGGAATCGAACCCAGGGCCTCATGCATGCAAGGCAAGCGCTCTACCACTGAGCCACCTTCCCAGCCCCTTAATTTTCTCTTTTTTTTAACTTCATTTTTTGGGGGTCTTATTGCACACCATTGTTTTTATGCAATGTGCCTCACCTTGTTTCGTTAAAATACTGTTTTCTTTTCGAGCTATATGCTGGTCTAAGGGCAAGACAGGCTAGACTGATACCTGGGTGTAACTTCTTAATTCTAATAAGGAGTTCTGTCCCTCAAGGCCAGCCTGGCATCTAGCTAGCAGTCTACTCTTCCTGCCCCTTTCTTATCTCACTTACGTTGCATTTCTCTTCCAACATCACTTTTGCTTCATCTTCTTCGGCGACACTGTTGACCAGCTTTCACAGACTGTAATATCATACTTGCAGGTCCCGCTAGCATGCCTGTCTTTCCTAAATAATGAAAATCTAGATTAAAGCATCAGTTGGTGACCTCATTTGGAACAAACAAGTTAGGTGCTAATTACCATGACATTGGGAGGAGATACATGGTAGGTGCTACTTAAGTGATGGAAGGAAATACAGTTGCTTTTAGCTTGTAGGGCATGTTTGAGGCTTAGGAGTCATCTCACTACTACTTGTAAGGTACTAGAGATACAAAAAACCAGTTCCTGTTTAGCTCCCAATGACTGATGCAGTAACAAATAATGGGAATACTGAAAGGGAAGAGAGATTGCTGGGGACTTCCAAAGTTGGAAAGTTTAATCTTTTCCCATTGTAGAAAAATCTCTTTCAGTAGTTTCATGTATTCTCTGGAGACTAAATTTTGATAGCTCCTAAGAACAAAGTTACAGTGACATTTTGTCTGCAGGGATTCACACATGTGGTCCCTTCTGCCTTGAACAGTGTTAACTTGTCTAATTCCTGTTAATTCTTAAAATAGAATCAGATCACTGTAACTTTAAGAAAAGCTTCCATGAACTTTCGCCACTGGCTCAGGTGTTCCAGTAGTTCTAATAGTCCCTCTTGTTCCCTATTCAAATTCGATTGCACTGCGTTCTAACTTCCTTTACTAGATTGTTCAAGGAAAGAAAAAAATTGGGCAAACCAGGCGCTGTGTACATAACAATGCCTGATGTGTGGCTGAAGCCCCCCAAATATTTGTTAGTTGAATGAATGAGTGAAACGAAGAGCTACGTTAGAAAAGTTGACCATTCTAAGTAAGGGAAAAAGAATGAACAAAAGTAGAAGAGTGGTATTGAATATTATTGATTCTTAGGCAGTAGAGTAGAATGGTTTGACTGGAGTATATTTTGAAAAGGAGAATAGAGAAAGAATTTAATAGGTAAATGTCAATGAAGCTGTGAGGTCAATCATCGTAAATGTCTTCATGAATTTGATAATCTCTTTGCATGAGAAATAATTTTTCTAACTTGTGTGTTACCATTTTTTAATACTTTTCAATGTATGAAACACTTGTTAATTGCCTATTTATAATGAATTTTGTAACTTTGAATGCTTTTGAGTATATTGAACAACTCATTAAACTCGATTTGTTTTTTATAAACTATTTTAAAAATAATTAAAATAAGGCAGTAATCTAATTTATGTATGGGAGTTTCCTTCTTATTTGTAGCTTACAGTAAAAATGCTTACAGCTGTGACTTTTTTTTCTCTAGTATCTCCAGAAGCAGTTGGATTTTTGTCAGCTGTTGGGGTGTTTATTATCTTGATGCTGCTCCTTTTTCTCTATATTAATAAGAAGTTCTGTTTTGAAAATGTTGGAGGGTTTCCAGATCTTGGTTCAGGATATGATACAAGGAGGAATTCACAAGATAAAATGTGTAAGTATCAGACAACTCCTTTTTTATCTGTACTATTCTTTATTTTAATACATTCAATAACATATTGGGTGGCATGTAAGCTTATATTTGAGTCACTGTTCTGTAAGAATAAAAGCACTGTTAAGTGAACTCAGACTTGTCTTTCTGTGTCCCAAAAGTACAAAGATTTGCATAAAAGTAAGTTGTCTCCTATCACAAATGAATGTTTTTGTTTTTTCATTTTTATTGTATGATTTTGAGTCTATAATATGAACAGATATGCTTTAGAAAGAAGGAATATCTTGGTATGTTATACAGGTTAAATGCATTGCCCAATAGCTCACTGCTCATATCCCTCAAAGGCATTGTCTTTACACAGCTGTTGGATAATATTATTGCTTGAGGGAGGTATTTTCTCCTTGCAGTTTAGTATATAGATAAATACTGCATCTAAAAAGTAATGCTTTACTCCCTACCATGGCACCATAGGCATTCTATTACTTAGTATTACTAGATACTAGGAAAGAAGGCTATTGTACTGTTTGTTTTGTTTTTCCTTCCTTGAGAGTTCTTGTTTTATATTTTTTTTTCAGTTGTGAGTCTTGAACTCAGGGCCTGGGCACTGTCTCTGAGCAACTTTGTGCTCAAGGCTAGTGTTCTACAACTTGAGCCACAGCACCACTTCTGGTTTTTGAGTAGTTAATTAGAGATAAGACTCTTACTGAGACTTTTCTGCCTGGGCCAGCTTCAATCCACAATCTTCAGATCTCAGCCTCCTGAGTAGCTAGGATTATAGGTGTGAGCCACCAGAGCCTAGCTGTTTTTCTTTTAATAATTACAGGAGTTTTTTAGTTGTTGTTTTCAAGGGCTTGTTTGTATAAATGATACCAGGAGTAAGTTGGAATTTATATAGGTGGTAATTTAAAACTGTTTTGAGGAATAAGCATAGAAACCTTGAGTATGTGTGTGTGTGTGTGTGTGTGTGTGTGTGTGTGTGTGTGTGTGCTGGAGAAATTCTTTTCTAATAACTGAAAGGTTGGGTGATAGACCTATTATTTAAAAATCTATGGATTACTAAATTACATTTTGAGTTTTTTGCATTGGGAACACTATTACTTTATGGGTTTTGGCTCTGGTAATTTCGATGTTTCTCATATTCCACTGCAGTCCTAATTTTAATCATTTGTGTGGACTGTACTAGGGTATAGATGTCTTTATTAGCAGGCTTCAATAGTTCTCTGGGTCAGCATTCCAATATTTCTGTTATCTAATTACAATAATTTACAATTATTTATGATCCCAGGGTTTTTTATTTATATAAAAATATATAGTACCATACTAGAACATTTTAAAATATTTTTATTTATTTATTTTTATTCCATGTATTTATTTTGGTGAGTGATTCTGTACACGGAAACGAGGCCTTGCAATACTAGACAAGTGTTCTACCACTGATCTACATCTTAACCCCTATTAAGAGAGAGAGAGAGAGAGAGAGAGAGAGAGCTCGAGCGTGTGTGTGTGTGTGTGTGTGTGTGTGTGTGTGTTAGTCTGTTGGTCCTGGGGCTTGAATGTAGACCCTGGGTACTGACCCTCAGTTTTTTTTTGCTGAAGCCTAGCACTCTGCTACTTGAGCCATAGCTGGCTTTTTAGTAGCTAATTGAGACTCACAGTCTTGCCTGCCAGGACTTGATTTGAATGTCTGTCTTTAGACCTCAGCCTTCTGTGTAGCTAGGATTACAGATGTAAGATTACAGGAGTGAGCCACCAGCACCCGATTAGGTTTTTTTTTAACTGAGCAATAAAATTTTCATATGTTAATGTAAGCGACATTTCTAAATTAGAAAAATCTGTATTTTCCTATCTGAAGATTTGGAAAGAAGAGTGACAGGTTTTTGGGGGGGTTGTTGTTGTTTTGTTTTGTTTTTTGGTGGGGTTTGTGGGGTTTTTGCATATCTTTTTAATGGTTGACATAGAGCAACCAGCCGGATTCTAGTATCGGCCTGAACAGTCAGTCTAGGATCTTGAAAACCCCGGTTTGCACTTGTAAGCAAATGAGTGAAAATGGTAACTTTTCCCTTTTTGTTATTATTAACCTAATTTGACCTTGAAGAGCCAGTGAAAAGATCTCATAGACGTTATTAAGTTTCTGAGTCTTGATATTTTTCATTCATTAAATAGAATTAACATTTACTCATAGAGTTAATATAAAATCCTATATATTTAAATGTTTCAATTATGCCTTGCACATGCCACTCAGCAGATGTCCATACTTGTTCTTCCTTCTTCTTCCCTCTGTGCCAGATTGTGTAGATAGTTTCTTCTTAATTTCTTTATTTGAAATTAAATTGGTAGTCTGTCTATAGGAGTTGTTCTCTTATGTAGACTATTAATAAGTAAATTAAAAGTACATAATAAAAGTGTTTTTTATACTTCTTCTTTCAGGTATAAAATTTAAAAGAAACAGTAGTATTTGAGGGGAAAACGTTGTCTTGCTGCTGTTATAGTTATGGAGTGGGAAAAAAATGTCATTATATTTAAGCCAAGTGATTTGATTTTTGTTTTTGGGGTCTTTTTGGAAGAGTTTTTACTTCAACTTATTTCTCCCAAATGAGATTAAAAGCCACAATGTGAAACACTAATACTCAGCTCATACATAGCAATATTTAAATAAATAAAAGTTAAATTCAAGTTCCCAAGTAGTGGATACTTTGAGAAGAGCAGATTTTGTGATTATACCTTTTGTGAACAAAGAATTGGAATATGGCATTTTTCAAAACTTTTCAACAGAATCTGCCTTCGGTGTCTTCCTTGGTGGACACAATTAGTAGTGCTGTGGAAGATCTGACCACTGCTGTTGGGGAGGTGAGCTATGCTTTCACTGACTCCGTTGCTGAGCAGGTGACAAGCATGATGCATGGCTTTCACCCAGAAGAGGAAAGCTCTGCAGCACAAGAAACTGCAGGTTCTTCTGCCACAAACAATGCCCCTCTACCAGAAGTCTCCAAAATCAATGCTTGTCAGAAAGCACAGTCCAATTTAGAACACAGAACAAAGCAAGTAAATGATGCTAACACTTCAGCTTCAGAAATGTGTGATCAAGGAATGCATGAGGGAAGATCACTTAGCCATATTGATAGGCAACAGACCCTGTTAAATTATCAGGAAGCTGATAATGCTGGTGATTCTTCTTTGAAAGGCCATAATATGAGTGGTAGAGTATCTGTTATCAAGCAGAGTACGAGGACTGGATCTGCTTGTCATGAACTTGAACATAATGACACTTGTAAAGCAGTTGGGTTAGTAAGTTCTAGTAATGACAAAAATGATTTAAAGCAGTTAAGATACCATGAAATGAAAGGAAATCACAATGCCACCATTGGCATAAACATACAATGTGAGCAAAAGAAGTTTATTGCTACAGATAAGAATGAAGGAGAAGAATATACTAAATCTCAACATGCATTTATGGGAAAAGATCAAGAGAAAATGAGGCATTTCAACAAAAATAAGCATCTTACTAATTTAGAACATGGGAATCATTTAAAGAAAGCTGAAAAATACATTAAAAGTAAAGGACTCAAAGGGAATGGGTATTCAGGAAATGAATGCTCTCCAAAAGAGATTCTGACACACAACCAACATACGATACAGAAATCAATTATGAAAGAAGACATATATCCAGCACCATCGGCTAATCCTAAAGATAAATTTTCTGGAAAAATCAAAGAACAAATAAACCCAACAAAATACTACAGATTGAGAGGAGACATAAAAACAGAGAAAAATGAAGCCAATTCTGCCAAACAAGGAACAACAAAGAATAAACTTGAAAAACATTGTAAGATAACACTAGAAAAAGGTGAGGTCTCCTAATGTTAGTTTGAATGGTTGAATTTTCTCTAACTTTTTTTCAATTAGGGAAACATCCAAATCTCTTTTCCTGTTCATGTCTATATATCAAGTTTAAGACTTCCTTGAATCTTCTGACTGCAAGACATTTTTAGAACCATTCAGTTTTTTATCCACAGAATTCCTGGATCATTCATATATATATATATATATATATATATATATATGTATGTATGTATGTGTATATATATATATGTATACCTCTGTGTGTTACACCTGATCAATACATAATTTGGCCAGTTTTTGAGGAGTCCTAATTTTTCTTAATTATCATTTAATTTATAATGAAAATCTGTGATTTTCTGAAGTAGTGTGCCTATTTTAGTGTGTTTATTTGTTGGGCTACACTTGCATTTAAAAATTTTATATTTTAGACTGCAAGCATGGCTCAAGTGACAGAATAACCTGAGTTCAAAATTCCAGTGCTGCCAAAAAAGGGAGACAAAAGAAAAAATAGTTATTTTCTACATCATATATTTAATATTGTTCTTCAAATCTGCCCATATTTTTTCATCACATGCTTCAGAATCTTTATTCACTTAGCCATACAATGAAACATTTTTATAACTGTTCAAGTTCATTCTGAGTGTACATAAACTATATTATTCATGAGTTCTTTATATAGAATTAAGATTTTGTGTAAGCACTTACAGTTTTCAACCATAATTTTCAAAATATTTCAGTTCATGCTTTTAGTACATCCTTCTGAGACTCCTTAGTCATTTTTAGTTATTGCTGATCCAATCACAAGGCCAAAATATACTGACTTTTATTTATAAGATGTGTAAATGACTTTTCTATAAGTTCAGATTCTCATAAAATAACAAAAAGCTTAGTTAGCAAAGGAAATTGAGAAAAGCATTCTTTAGTTCTTCTACATGGCTTATAAATAGTAGATATTAGTATTTACCAATTGTATGACTGTTTTTAAAATGGGATAGAAGAGGTTGATCAGGATGGATGGGCTCACTAGAAACCAATGCCAGCCTGTGATAAATATATCCATTTAGAGTCTATCCGTATGGCCAGGATGGAGTAGAGGGTGGGAGGTCAGATTCAGAATGTTTTGGTAGCCCTGGTTTAGTTCTGGTAGAGTTATTACTTGAAGTAAATACATAAGACATACAATTAAGAAATATAGGTTTTTCATTTTATTTAGCAAAGGACAATAAGTAGTAGTATAGGATTTTAAATTTTGTTTTGCTTTGCGTTCACTAAGAAGCAAAGCACCTAAAGAAGGTACCTAAAGGAAAGGGGTGGTTTGGAAACGATGGGTAAGAACGTTAAAAGGGGTGACATTGATCAAGATGTATTCTATTTCTAAACTGTTTTGTTGAATGACAACTCCTTTGTACAACTACTTAAAGATTTTATATATATTAAAGAAGTGGGAACTGAGCCGGTCGCTGGTGGCTTACTCCTGTAATCCTAGCTACTCAGGAGGCTGAGGTCTGAGGATTACGGTTCAAAGCCTACCTGGGCAGGAAACTCTGTGAGACTCTTATCATCAATAAACCACTCAGAAAACTGGAAGTGGTGCAGTGGCTCAAGTGGTAGAGCACTAGCCTTGAGCTGAAGAGCTGAGGGACAGCACTCAGGCCCAGAGTTCAAGCCCCATGACAGA